ATAAAATTTTATTAAATTTTGAAAAATTTTTATTATATGCATGTGTTCATTTTTTTACCAAAAATAGGATATACAATGCAGATCATAGTAAAAATGATCTACGTACACTCTACCCTTAAAAATATATACTTTATATTATACTTTTCTTAGTATAATTATAATTTATTTAATAAATTAAGAAGAATACTATGATTGATATTCTACTTGTTTATCCTATTTTTAATATATCTTATGGACGAATTGTTTGATCACAATTTCCCTCACAACTAATGAATTCAAATAATATATTACTATATGGCATGTCCTATGCTCCTCAATCTCAAATAATCTATTATCTATCTCCAGTTCATTCTACAAATCCTTCTGGTTTACCTAGTTTATTTGGTTTACCAAATATAAATAATTCTTTTATATCAGCAATTTATTTTTCTAAAACAGTTCATGAATTTTTTTTAGAATTAGAAGCGATAAATAATAAATTAGGATCTTATACACAATTTGAAAAGGCATTTAAAAATAAAAAAATTTTATTAGATACTATTAAGAAACTTTCTGAATCAGATTTAATTGAATTAGGAGTAAATAAGATGGGATAGCACAAAAAAATTATAGAGCTAAGCTCATGAATATTAAGATTAGTTTTTTTTTTTATAAATTGAGATCAATTATACAAATAATAATTTACTAAAATATATCTAGATAGACTTGTTATATTTTAGGCTAAATATGATTATAAATACAAGATAGAATTACTAGTATGTAATTTGACTTATATTTATAGTTTTGGCATTATTATAAAGAAATATTAATTGAAAAGAAATTTTTTGATTTTATATCTTTAATATTAAATTTGTAATGAGTTATATTATAGGAATTCCTATTATACAAGGTCTGGTAATCTTAGTGTAGTGGTTAGGTTGCCAGACTGCTATGCAAGAGGTCTAGAGTTCAAATCTTACTGTCGACAAATTTGAATAATTACCTAGACCTTTGTACCCAACTTACAGTAAACCCTGTTCGTTTCTGAGGTTATAATCCTGTAAATCATGTTGCACTAATATCATCCAGATATTGGAAGTATG